TAACCATGTGAGTTTGTTTTAAAATCTCTTTTTTGTGAAGTTGGGAATGGATACTTCCTTGCAATTATAGTTGTTTCCAAAACGTAAATCATTTTGGCTATAAAATGCTCTATTTTCTTTAGTTCTGACAAAATCAGCTTTATATATATATATATATATATAATCAGCCTCCTTCCATCTTTGGAGGAATTCAGCCTTCAGTTCCTAAGTGGGCAGGAAGGATGTGAAGCACATATGTCACTTATTTTGTTTCACCCCAATTCCTGACATACATTTGTTAGCAAAAACATACTCCCACTGAATTCTAGGACAGTAAATCATGCTTATGCTGACAGACATGAATTAAATGGTGCAATGCAGGAATTGTTCAGGGAGTGGTTCTTGCTTGCTATTACTTCACTGACATAGAGTTGTAGGTCTCTGGATGGATACAGGCCTCGGTCAGCTGGACTGTTGTTATCTGCAGCACTGGCATGGAATTTCATAAGTCCCACTCATCTGCCCAAACTTGAAGTATCAGAAAAACATGTCAGATTTAGGATTCCAATTCAAATCTAATGCTAATGATGATTTTGAATACATTGGCTTGAAAAAACAGCAGAGAATATGCTAATAAAAGCACTTCAAAATTAAGGAATCTTATTTTCCAGGACTAGTTCTGCCACTAGTTAGCTACATGGCCTTTAACAAGACCTCAGTGTCCTTAACTACAAATTGAGGATTTTAATAGAGTTAAATGGGAAAAGGTACCTTCCACAGTGGCAATAAATAATTGGTGTTACTATAATGTATCTGGTAGGTACTGGAAATTCAATGCACCGAGGCTGCTTGTATCATTTGGCATTAGGTAGTGGGCTACCTAAAGTTAAGACTTAGATAAAGTAGGCAAACCAATTTAAATTAATTTTTTTTTACTTTTCAAGAAATCATTTTTAAAAATCAATTTAGGGATATATTAATAAGACCGAATTAGCCTGTTTCCTTGAGGTAAGTAGATCAAACAATTTACTTCATTATTTATGAAACATAATATGGACAGATAAGTTTTTAAATGTTTCTAGAACTTAATTTTTAAAAACAAAATACATCTCCAATCTAATGGAACTATTCTTTTTTCCTTTAATGAAAGAATGACAAATGGTTATAAAAATAAAAATAACTTCTAGGTTATAAAAATAACTTCTATTTATTTGTGTGTGCACATATACTGGGGTGGTAGCATTTGGGATGAAAAACCAAGAATTCTCTGAAGTCTTCTGAAACTGACTTTAAGTATTTGCTTACAAAAAACCAATTTCCATAAATTCAGAAAGTTTTTTGAGGGAGTTCTGGGGTGGGTTCAGAAGTGTAAAAAGCATTGAGGAGAAGGCAGGGAGGAAAGAGAAAAGACTTCATTAAAATAAAGCCTTTATTAATTGAATATTTGAATATATATGTGTCAATTTAAAACAGTTTAATAAAAATTTCATTATACATACACATCACATTGAGAATCAAGAAGCAGTTATCACTTGAATATTGAGGAAAATATTTCCTCAAACAGTGTCTCCATACTAGCCCTGTGATCTGAATCACCCAATGCTCTAGTTAAAAATAACAGATAACCTGGGGCTCTACTTCTTACCTATTGAATCAGAATCTTTATGGGAGGTTTGTGAGAATCTATATGTTTAACAAAGATCCAGGTGATTCTTCTCCTTTGGACATTTCTAAAACTGCTCAACTGAACTGATTTGTTGTAGCCCATTCTAAGATAGCTCTGTAGTACAGAGAATTAAAATTGAAAGATTTCTTTAACATTATTTTTATTCCACTGGGTAGAGTGCTAGTTACCAATGTATTGCCTCTCAGGTTCAAATCCACTCTTCTCTGCCGTGCTTTGTGATACTGGAGTTGGACCCTGTGAATGCATCTCCCTTGCCAGATGGCACCCTTAAGCTTTGCCGGTTTTCTATAGTTCTGGTCTCCAAATTAACTCCCCCCATTTTCTTAAGAATCCATTAGGACTAATCTTTGTTACTTACCTTTGAAACTGTTTGAGGACATGGGTAAATTGGAAGGCTGGTTCTCATCTTTTTATTTGACCATTATCAGCAGTATTTGACACAACTGAATGCTGCTTTCTCCTTGATAGACTTGTTTTGATTTTCAAACCAAAAATTTTGGTTTTCTACTCCCTGTCTTCCTGTTTTACTGCTTCAGTCTCCCTTTCTGGTCCCCCGTTTTCTCCTGCCCTCTGAATTGGAGCATGCTTTATTGCCCAGTTTTTGGACTTCCCTTTTTTCATCTGCACTTAATTCCCAGATGATGAATTTTGGTACATGGCCTTCAGTATCATCTCTATCCCAAAGATTCCAAAATTTGAATCTCAACTTGTCTCTGTTTCCCAAATTCCATCTACCTGTTCGATACCTAATATATCATATCTACTTGTTTACTTAACAGGCATATCAAATTTACAAGCTCCAAAACTTAATTGCTGATCTTCCTCAAACCTCTTCTTCCAGTGATCCCTTTCTCAGTTACTGGAAACTTATATTTCTAGTCCCTTAAGCCAAAAATATTGGAATCTTCCTGTCTTCTCACTCTTTTATCATGAATCAATTCATTAGCAAAATCTATTGGCTCTGTCTTCAAAATATACCCATAATTGATCACTTTTCATAATCTCTACTGCTAACTCTTTCACCCAAGCCAACAGTATGTTTTGTGTGGATTATACAGTGGCTTCCTCTATCAGGATAGGCTAGATTATATTGTCATCAAAAGGGCCTTCTATCTCTGCCTATTTAGGAATCTATACAAAATATCGAAATGCTATAGACTGGTGGCAAAATGGCAGTGGCTTCAAAACTAAAGCAGTGGTGTCATACTTATTTGATGCTTAGAGCTCATGTCACTCTGCCAGTGTCACTCTCCTTTAACAGGGCAGTCCACTGCTAACAGAAAATGCTTTCCGCTAACAAAGGTGCTGCACATAAAGCAAGGGCACAGTACTTGGTACATAGTAAGGGCTCAGCAATGGTAGTTGTTACTAACAACATAGTTGGAACTGAAATCAAGACTGCTAGTTTTCTCCATTATCACTTAATTGTGGGGCATCCTGAACATCTCATTTAGAGCTATTCACAGTGTCAGGCCTTTTGACAACTGTTTTAGGTGTTTTCATTTTCCCTTCCCAAAACTAAGCATTAACTACCTAAATTCCTCCAAAAAATGGTTATTTGGGAATAGACAGTCAAGAGAAGAAGCTGTAAAATATATTTTCCTTATTCTATTCCTCAATAAAATATATTTTATTCCATTTTCAATAGAATTTACTAGGCATAGAAATAATATTTTCACAATAAAAATACAAATAACAACATTGCTTAAACAAATAATGAAAAGTAGATTTTGGTGGTAGAAACTTCCAATTAGAAAATAAATTAAGTTATGGGAATAATAATGTTCAGCATGGTGACTATAATTAATAATACTATATATTACATATTTGAAAGTGGCTAAAAGATAGGTCTTAAAAATTCTTATCACAAAAAAATATTGTGTAAACATGTATGGTGACATATTGACTAGACTTCCTGTGGTGATCATTTTGCAACCTATATAAATATTGAATGATTATTTTGCACATTTAAAACTCATAAAATGTTATATGTAAATTATATCTCAATTAAAAATAGAGTACATCTTTGCATCTCTTTGGCTCTTATCACACCACTTTATGAGTTATATTGAGTGTCTAATACCTTAAATTCCATTTTTCAGCTTTACTGAACTATAATTGGTGTACAAAGAACTACACATATTTAATGTATACAATGTGGTAGGTTTGGAAATATGTATACACATATGTTACTATCGCCACAATATAGGTAATAAACATACCAATTACCTCCAAAAGTTGTCTTGTGTCCTTTTTGTGTGTGTGGGTAGTAAGAATTCTAACATGAGACCTACCCTCTTAACAAATTCATAAGTACACAATAATTTATTGTTAACTATAGGCACTATATTGTACAGTAGATCTTTGGAATTTATTTATCTCATATAATTATAATTTTATCCACATTGAACAACTCCTCATGTCTTCCTCCCCCATCCTCTGGTAACCACCATTTTATTGTCTATGTTTATGCTTTTGATACTTTAGATGTCTGTATAAGATAATTCATGTGGTATTTGTCCTTCTGTGACTGACTTACTTCTCTCAGCCTAGTACCTTTCAGGTCCATCCATGTTGTCAAAAATGTAGAATTTCCTTGTATTTTAAGGCTGAATAATATTCCATCATATGCATATACTAAGTTTTCTTTATTTATCTATTGATGGACATTTGGGTTATTTCCCTATCTTGGCTATTATGAATAATGCTACAATAAACATGGGAGTACAGATATCTCTTAGAGATCCTGATTTTAAATCTTCTGAGTATATACCCAGAAGTGGGATTGCTGGAGTATATGGTAGTTCTATTTTTATTTTTTTAATTCTCATCCAAGAGTGTGTTTATTTTTTTTAGAGAGAGAAGAGGGAAAGAGGGACAGTGGGGTGGGGGAGAGAGAGGGAGAGAGTAACATCAATGTGTTGCCTCCTGCATGTGCCCTGACCAAGGATCGAACCCCTAACCTTTTTGTGTATGGGACAATGCTCCAAACACCTAAGCCACCTAGCCAGGGCTACTTTTATTTCTCTTTAAATTATATTTTATTGATTATGCTATTACCATTGTCCTGATTTTTTTTGCCCTTGTCCCCCTCCATGCAGCATCCTCCACTCTCTCAGGCAACCCCCCCCCCACCATTATTCATGTCCAAGGGTCATGCAATAAGTTCTTTGGCTACTCCATTTCCTATACTGTACTTTACATCCCCAGAGCTATTCAGTGACTACCTATTTGTACTTCTTTTTTTTTTCCATCAAAAGCTTTATTTTGTTTGTTTTAATCTTTGAATCTTTGAAGCCCATTTGGTCACAATATGTTACAAATATCTGTGTATGTGTGCGTGTTTTTTTACACCATGATATCATATGTTTGTCTGGCACTATCCTAAAGCTAGTTTATAGATGAAGATGACATAGAAACAACCCAGGGTCCTTATGACAAATGAACTCACTGGGCAGAAATGGGAGAGGGGAGGAAGGAATTCAGCTCTACCTAGGGAAAAGGGCTGTGTCGATCACTCATCATCAGTCCCACTTGCTTCTGACTGTTCGTTGCCATCCTCCTCTTCGTCACTGTCGAAATCGCTCAGGACAGGTTTGGCTTTTCCTCGATTTTGCTTTTTCTTGCCTTTTCCTTTGTCCCGACCCTTCTCATCTTTTTTATTAAGCTTGATTTTCACCTTAACAGATTTTGCTTCCGACTCTGACTCCTCTTCTTCATCTTCCTCCTCCTCTTCGTTGCTTTCTTCCTCACTCTCCTCCTCTTTGGCAATTTTCTGCCGTGCGCTCTTAAACACCGACTGCAAGATGATGGAGTCTTCATAGATCTGAGATACCTCCAAGTTGAATGTCTGCGCATTATGACAGAGAAGCATGACATCCTTCTCCAGGTCACCCAGGCTCCGGTACTTATGATTACGAATTCTTTCCTTTATTTTTTTTTGAAATTCACTGGTTTCCTAATCAATTCATAGTATTCTGGTAATTCTTTCCTCGAAGGTAACTGAATGAAGACTTCACTGAGCTGTCGCCTGGAACTGTTTCCTTCTATTTCCAACTGAGAATTACTGGGCACCTTCTCCACGTTACACCTGTCTTTGTAGTTTATCACAGTATCGATGATAGCGTTCATCTGCTTTGTCAGTTTAGGGGGATTTGGTGATAGCTTCTCTGCAGGGGGGCGGCCTCTTCTCTTCTTAGCTTTTTCCACATCTTCTTTTGCAGGATCTTTATCCACATTTCTTCGTCTTTTTTGCTTCTTAAGCCGTACTTCTTCTTCCATTTCTTCCATGGAAATTCCCGTTTTCAATGGCCTGCAGCCACTGCTTCTCAGTGAGGGCATCACTGTAGTCCACATCCTGGTGCTGGCGAGACCCTCTACCAAACATTTTCTCCTCCTCTTCTTCACACGTAAGCCTTTCTACTTCAGCGTCATCTTTAATAATCCAGGAGGGCAGCTCATCGTCCTCCATCAAGCGAGGCTTGCGCTTTGGGTTCCAGGCATCCTCCTTCCGCCGCTCCATGTCCATACGCATAAAAAAATCAAATTCTTCTTCTCGTCGATCGATCATTTGGTTCAGAGTTTCATCGTCTGGTACCTCATCTTCTTCCAAGTTATTTGAACATCTTCCTGTAGCAAAATCTGTTCAGGGAGGCCTATTTGTACTTCTTAATTCCCTCGCATCCTCACCCATTCCCCCACATGCCCCTCCCACCTGGCAACCAACAAAATACTCTTCGTATCCATGATTCTGTCTCTGTTCTTATATGCTTAGTTTGTTTTTGGGATTCAATTATTGATACATTTGTATTTTTTGCCATTTTATTGTTCATAGTTTTGATTTTTTTTTTAAGTAAGTCCCTTTAACATTTCATATAATAACAGTTTGGTGATGCTGAACTCCTTATTTTTTTCTTGTCTGGGAAGCTCTTTATCTGCCTTTTTTTTTAGAGATTTTATTTATTTATTTTTGGAGAGGGAAGGGAGGGAGAAAGAGAGAGAGAAATATCAATATGCGTTTGCTGGGGGCTGTGGCCTGCAACCCAGGCATGTGTCCTGACTGGGAATCGAACCTGCGACACTTTGGTTCGCAGCCCACACTCAATCCACTGAGCTACGCCAGCCAGGGTTTATCTGCCTTTTAATTCTAAATGATAGCCTTGCTGGGTAGAGCAATCTTGGTTGTAGGTCCCTGCTTTTCATGACTTTGAATATTTCTTGCCAATCCATTCTAACCTGCAAAGTTCTTTCAGCTGACAGTCTTATGGGAACTCCCATGTAAGTAACTAACTCCTTTACTCTTGCTGCTTTTAAGATCCTCTCTTTAACCTTTGACACTTTAATTATGATGTGTCTTGGAGTGGGCCTCTTTGAATCCAACTTGTCTGGGACTCTGCGCTTCCTGGACTTGCATGCCATTTCATTCATCATATTAGGGAAGTTTTTTTTCATTATTTTTTCAAATAGATTTCCAATTTTTTGCTCTTTCTCTTCTTTTTCTGGCACCCTTATGATGCAAATGTTGGACCTCTTGAAGTTGTCCCAGAGGCTGCTTATACCATAAAGCTCAAAGGCACCACCCCTTGAGGTGTATCTCTCCACACCATTCCCCTCTCCTTTCTTGGAGAGTGAATAAAAACTTTATTCCCTGCACTTTCTTATCTTTGTGAATTCTTTCACAGCCCAAGCCATTGACCACCCCAACAAATGGGAGGGATTTACTCAGGCCAGTCAGCTGCAAAGATTGGCTGTGACCACTTACCACCAACCTCTGCCCTGTGGAGGATCAGCTGTGCCAAGGCAGGGTAGTGGTGCTTTGATGTGGCCTGTAGCTGTCCACTGGGAGTGCTGACCCTGGGTTTTCCTGGGTGATACAGGCCAAGGTCAGACCCATCAGGGACTGACCCAGGTTTTTCCTGGGGTTACCCTTCCTGAGGTATAAAGCAATCGAGACGGCTGCTACTTGTGCTGGGCTTGTAAATTCCCAGGCAAAGCCAAGGTGTGAATTACTGCACACCTGGGGCTCACTGAGGCCAGCTGTTGCTTCTTTGGTAGGATTTAGGAAGTTGTGAGGCATGAACCAAGAGCAGCCATTCTTGTGGAATAGCAACTTGGGTGGGCCCGTAAGTTGGGTGGGGTGGAGCCTCTGTGGATCTCCAAGGAGGGTCAAACAGTGTTAGACAGGTTGATGGACTCTCAGATATGGCACCAGCTTGCTGGCTCTGTTGGGGTGGGAGGGATTTAGAAAAGGGACAATCTGCTCGCTTTAATGCCAGATACCTCAGTTTTTCCCTTTATGTCACTGGTGCCTTTCAAGCTGCTACCCCAGTGCTGCAGCTCAGAGGGATTGAGTCTAAGTAGGTTAGTCCATGTGTGGGTTCTTTTAAGTAAGATAAGACGAGATGCATCCAGGGTGCATCCAGGGTGAGTCCAGGGTGGTATGGCTGTAGACCCTGTATGAGTTCTTTAAAAGGAACTGTTTGGGGCTCCAGAAGTTTCTTCCATCAACTCAATCTCCACTGTTTTTTTTAGCTAGAAGTTGTGGGGACTAATTTTCTTGGCCTTGGAACCTTGGACTGGGAATCTGGTTTGGGGCTGGGACTCCTGAGATATCTCTCCCAAATTTTTATCCACAAAATGTGGATATGGGACCACCCCAATCCATGCCTGCCCCTCTCTACCAGTCTCAATGGATGTGGTTTCTTTAATTTTAATAGTTGTCAGACTTCCATTCAACTTGATTTCTGATGGTTCTGAGTGATGGGTTTTTCTATATTTTAGTTGTAATTTTGCTGTGGTTGTGTGAAGAGGGGAGCTATGTCTGTCATCTTGACCAGAAGTCTGGCCAGGGCTATTTTTAATTTTTTGAACGACATCCTTAATGTTTTCCATAGCACCTGCAACATTTAACATTCCATCAAAAGTGTGTAAGGGTTCCTATTTCTCCACACCCTTTCAACACTTTAAAAAATATACTAGCCATCCCAACAGGTGAGATGCTATCTTATTGTGATTTTGATTATAATTAGAAACATGCTAATTCCACTGTTGTGAAATAGAGAACAATGACCAAGTTCACACATAAATGTACTTTTTATTTAACATTATATCTTTCACATTTTCAGTGTTTAAAAACTTTATAAATATGATTTATACATAGTTTAATTGATATGTCAATTTTTTGAACCATTTCAAATCTTTGAACAATTTAAATTGTTTCTAAGGTTTTGCTTTTGTAAGTAATAAGAAACTTCCTTACAAACCCAAATCTTGATTTTACCTCTGATTATTCCCTTACAACAATTCCCTGAATTTTGGAATTTCTCAGTAAAAGTACATGAAAATTTTAGAGGTTTTTAGTCATACTGTGTGAAAAAAATTTAGATTTGAATTCTGAAAACCAAAACTTGTGGAAAATAACTGTTCATGAACTGACAAGAAATAAATAAGACTATGTAAGCAAACAGATTCTATTTAGGTGACTTTCTCAAGCAGAATCTTGAGATTCTTTGGGTAGCTAGTTTTTTGAGAAAATTTCAAGACAAATGACCCAAGGGCAGTTTCAGATACTAGAATATAGCTTGGCAGATATACAGTGGAGCACTTGGTAGAAAACAGTCAAAGAGGGTTCTCACACAAAGCCTCTGAAAGGAGTATTTTCTGAAGTGGTCCATCCTAAACATGCACTGACTTTGTGTAAAATACTTTGTTCCTGACACAGCAGGAGGGATAGGAAAGTATTTGCTGTTTTATTTATATGTTTATAATATTTATAACTGAACATTGACTACAGTGGGAAATAAAGTCCAAATCTACATGCTGCTGAAAAGCATGCTAGTGTGGTCAAAACTTAAAATGTGTTCAGTTTTTAAATTATAATCCCATTAGAATTATCTTTAACATGAGTTAAACTTTCTAACTTATTTTATCTATGTAAACTTTCATTTAATATCTGTGTGTGTGAGTAAATCCTAGAAAATGTAGATAATGAAAAACAATTTAGCTTTTTATCTCAGCATTGGTTTTCCAACAGTGTCACCTTCTGGTTGGAGCTTGCCTTTGCAAGCTGGCATGTCCAGACTCATTCCACCCTGCTTGGTGTGATTTTGTTCCAGGCAATACTGAGTGAGCCTTAGTAGCAGACTGCCCCCTAAAGATACTGTCCAGATAGGTGCTAGAGGTCAGAAAAGCATACAGAATGCAGGAAACATAAAGAAAAGTGTACTAAGAAGTTATGCCAAGCATCTAAACAAACCAAAAATGTATCTAAACTTAGAAAGCTTTTTGCTTCTGATTGACCAATTCTCCTCTGGAAAGATACAATTGAACTGAAAGAGTTGCAGAAGAGGTCAAATAAAATGATTGTGTCTAAGAGACTTCCTCTCTCTGAGAAGTTGGGGCATAAGTAAGTCAGGAACCACTCAGATGGGTCTTATAGGCCACTGGACACCTCTTTAGCCTTCATATAAGTGTTTGAATGTTGTTGAAATGAAATTGAGTTAATTGTATAAAGCTATACATCTTAAGCCTCAGTCCTCCTCACCTTTTTATATTGTAAGTATGAAATTAATATTTGAGACAACTCCCTTAGCATACCCAGACTTTAATAAAAGCTCCTCCTACTTTATTTTGGTAAAAATAATACATTATAGCAATTTGTATTCAACAGAATTGTTCAGATCAACAGTAAAAATTACTTACTTCTCGGGTACATGATATGTACAGTTCCCCATCACCACTGTTCACTTTCTCAATTCAGAGAAGCTTGCAGACATGAGTGAGAGTCTCTTTGTTATAAGAAAACCCTTGAATTCTCTTTGATGTATATACCCAAGGACTTTCCATTACATCACTTCTTGGATTTAGTCTCAGGATAAGGATAAGAAAATTCCCATCCCTCAAGTACTCCTGTTTAACAAAAAAAGTGCCACTATATTTGTAGCAAGAATTTACTTGAAATAACCTCACAATGATCAACACAATTTAAATTGAGACTTTCAGGCTGGGAATTCCCATCTAAATGTCTCAAATTCAATGACTGTAGGCACACTCTTTATTATCATTTATTCAGCCTTTCAAAATGTACATAAAGTAAAACCTTCCTAAGCCGAAGCACTAAGAACTCACTAAATTCGTATACAGATGCATGAAATCCTTTGTTGTACTATGATACCTTTATGCAAGAATATATACTAACTCTCAATCATGGAAAATAATATGGCTATTTTATGAGATAAAAATGGTCACCTAAAAGAGTAAACTGGGTATCTCTTCATATGTGTATTGGCCACATGTTTGTCCTCTTTGGATAAGACACTATTCAGGCCCTTTGCCTTTTTTGAAAATTGGATTGTATATTTTTTTTGCATTAAATTTTATAAGTTCTTTATAAATTTTGGATATTTGTGGTGGGGGGGATGCCCACATAGCATCCCTCCCACCACCCCCCACCTCCACCCTGCCGTCCTCTGTGGAGTAGAATAAGTCTACCAAGGCATGATCTGCTGGGGGAAGAAAAGTGACCAATCTCTCAAAGGAGAAGGGCCTTGAGCCTGTTCCTCAATGGGCTTT